CACCGCCGCTGCCACCAGAAACACGATCGCCGTCTCCTCTACTAAAAGCTCCGTCAAAATCTCTACCGCCACCGAAACTGGAACCGCCAAAAGCGTTGTTACCACCGCCAGGCGGATTGTTCGCCTGTACATTGGGAATATTTCTAGCAGCAGCATCCAATAGTCTGTTATCACCACTGCCGCCACCGTTGGATTTCTGTCGGTTGTCGCTACAGCTTTGGCTTTGATTTCCAGAGAACCCACCGCCGCTGCCACCAGAAACACGATCGCCGTCTCCTCTACTAAAACCTCCGTCAAAATCTCTACCGCCACCGAAACTGGAACCGCCAAAAGCGTTGTTACCACCGCCAGGCGGATTGTTCGCCTGTACATTGGGAATATTTCTAGCAGCAGCATCCAATAGTCTGTTATCACCACCGCCACCATCGCCATCGCCGCCGCCGCCACCTCCACCTCCACCACCACCACCGCCGACTTCTGCGCCGGTAGGCGCGGTCATATTTTGCTTTTCGCCTCCCTGCGGCGAAAGCCTCGGAGCATCTCTGAACCTGTCGTCCCGATTTCTATCGTTGTTACGACCTGTCGTTAAACGGCCGTACTCGCCGGACGACAAGGGACTGTCCGGGAATCTTAGGTCTAGATCCTCTCTAACGCTACTGCTGGAACTGGACCGACTGGACGTGGGCTTCGAACGGCCGCCTCTGCGACGGGCGGATTTTGACGTATAGGGCTTCATTATCCAAAAACCCTTCCCATTTTCCTTCACTAGTTTGAACTTGTTCGACAATTTGGTGCGCACGCTGCACTTCCAAGGGGTGTGGCTGTGGTCGTCGCCCCTACCCTTCAAGGAGGGCACGTTCTGGACCATCCACTTATATACCTGTTTGACGGTGAGCCGCCGATCGGGCGCGCTGGTGATCGCCCGGGTGATCAGGTCGACGTAGTTCAAGGTCACGCGACGATGCGGCTCGAATCCGGTCTCCAGATCCGGCGAGGTCGAGT